GGTAGAAAAATCCTTCTAATAACAATATTTGCCCACATGTTGAGATCACCCTACGAAAAAATGGTCAATATTATCCTAAGCCTCAGGGCAGCCCCCATATAACAGCATCCCCTGTTATTCAATATTGTGACTATTTTTTTCAACCGAATTGAATCAATTTTGATATTTGGGTTCACATTGAGTGACATATTTTCCTACACAAAATTATATAGATATTAGTCCCAAAATATTATTAAATTAATTTTTTTTTAGGTAGCCCTCATATAATTGCGCCTATCGATTTTCGGTATTTTAGAGTGTTTGGGTTCGTCTTATACCCATATAGGCTGTAATTTAGCATATGAGATTCTTATAGGTCAGTATATCCTCTCACCAAAAGTGAAAAATATTGGCCCAAATTTCGGGGTAGGTCTCATAGAAGAATACCTGCCAACTTTCGATATTTCGCATTTATTTTAGGTCCTCAATGGGTATAAAATTTGCCCAAGTTTAGTGGTAGCCTTCATATAACAGTACTCCCGGAAATTTGGTATTTTGCGAAGTTTAGATACATTTTCCAGTCGTGTCAAAAATGGTCAATATCGGAACCTCCCTAAATTTCAGTATTTTGAAAGTTGGGCAACAGTTTTCAAGCACATTGGCTGTTATTTAATATTTTGGATTCTCATTTTGTAGCAAAACCTCATACCAAAAATAGTCAATATTGACTCAATATTTAGAATAGACCTCATATAAAGGTACCCACATTTCTGTATTCGGCATGTACCCACATTTCTGTATTCATATTTTGACCTATCCATTGGATGACAAATTTTCCTATCAGAACATTTTCAATATCGGCCCTCATTTTGATATTTGTAAGGATTTTGTTTGGCATCTTCAAGTTCCTAGCTCATTTTATTTAAGATGAGAGTCTAAAGTTAGATATTTTTTCTGACAGAAATTTACAATGAAATATCACTCTTATAAAAATTGTAATCGATTTTTAGGTATTACTAATTTGCACTCGGAGGGAATAAAAAGTTCGAAGGCTTTGCATAATCTAAGTTTGATATGAGGTTTTCTGACTAAGAGTCGGATTAAAAGGGAAAAGGACGGCGGAAAAGTATGATTATCGATTTCTTGTCTATGAGGACCCTAACTATAATTTTGTGAGCAATGTTTTTGTAGAATATTTGAGTGTCAACAAATCTTGTTTTGTGGTATTTATTTTACGGTTCAAATAAAAAAGAAAAAGACGCACAAGGACTCGAGATAGAAAAAGGATATATTTTACAAAAATAATTTTCATTGAATTTGACTGCAGAAAAGTGATCAAAAATAACCTGCAATTGTCTCAAACCATGATATAAAGTTTTTTTCTTTATGAACTACAAGTCCAAAAAAATTTATCACCCTGTAACTCAAAAACTGGATCTATAGCGAATTTGTACTTCTGGGAAGTACAGAATACTCGCCAAGGGATTTTATACCCAGAAGAAAATGTTGACCACCCAAAAAATTGCAACACCCTGTAAAATATAAAGAACTACTGTTAAAATTCGGAATTATTCGCTTCGTCAGTCCCCAAAACGTATTCTAGTTGTTTTTTTTTTTAAATCGTGATAGAAATTTTCATGTTTTTTCCTACAAACATTTTTTTTAATTCTTCCAAGATTTAAAATATTTTTTAGTTGTCAATTTTTTTCAGCAGGTTGTTCTAACAAAAAAAATCTTACAAAAAACTTGTTCCCTTTTTATAAAAATCACTAATCTCCCTCCAAAAAAACAACATGTTTTTGTACGTGACTTTTTTAGAATTTCCAAACACGCTGTTGTTGTTGTTATTTTTTGTTGTTTCGTTAAAAAATACATCGTTTCATCGCGCCTCTTAAAATAGTTTTATTGTCCACAGATGCTCTTCTGGCTATTCAAATAAAATTGTAATCGACCATGAAATGCAACAATTCAAACAAATAAAACAAAAAGGGCAACAAAAGTTATTGGCAATTAAAAAAAAAAATGTTACAAAGTGTTCGATTGCAAAATTATTTTATTTGGAGGGGTTGTGAAACATTTTGGGGATTGTTGTAAAAATTAACAAATATTGTAATAAAAATTATGTAAATTTGATGTTTATTAAAAAATAAACAACATTAACAATTTTTATTTTTATAAAAAATATATAAATTAGACTAGGTTCATATTAAGGTCATATTTGATTTAATATGACCTGAATATGTCCATAGTGTAAGGTATATATTTTTTTTATAATAATTAAAATATTTATTTTTGTTTATTTATTTATTAAAAAAAATCATATTTTCCTAATTTTTTATTTTTATATTAATTATTATAAATCATATATTAAACTAAGTTCATATTCATTGCGTTAATATTAAAAATCTCCATAATTATTGACTTTTTAGACAAGTTTGTTTAAATATCTTTAAAATTATTTAACAATGATGAAAAAAAATTAGAATTTTTATTAATAATCTCTACTGAGGTCATAATTGTCCCACAATGTCCCTCTCTGCCTCATAATATCATCTCTTCCTTCTTACAAAGTATATTATAAATCACATTAACTAAGTTATGACCCAAAGGCCCATAAAAATTCTTAGGAGGTTATTCATTACATTTATTAAATATTAATGAAGACCAGTAATATATATTTTTTTTTTTCAATTTTCCTCGAACACGAAAATTGTTTGTAAATGAAACCACTTTGCATTGCAAACAAATGTAAACATTTGTTTGTGCGCTCTAAGTGGCCCTCTCCATTCTGCGGAAGGCCCAATAATTCATGTCACAGTGACATTTTTATGTGACACAATTCCCCCAAGATTTGTTCAATGAATTTTTATTGATTTTTTGCCCTAAAGAGAGGGAGTGAGAGAGAGGGGGAGAAATATTTCCCTAAACATTTGGAATCGGTCGCTCATTAGTTCAAGTAATTTGTCGATTGGAATTTCCAAGTAAAGAAGTTGCATACTTGACACTCCACAGGTTGTTTATGTCGTCAGCATCATCAGTCATTAATGCCACCACGAACATGCACCACACAAACTTGTGGCATGTGGCACTCAATGGGCTAAACAATTAAATTGTTGCACTATTTTCAAGTGTTCTTAGTGACTCGGAAGAGTGAAAGGAATTTGAGAAGATTGAGAGGTATGGAGATGTTTTGTGGTACACAAGGAAGAAGAATTTGGAAGAAGCAAAAATAAGAAGTGATTTATGGATAGAAGAGGTCTTCTTCAAGTAGAAAAAATATCCTTCAACGATATTCTTAAAAAATCCATAGGCATACGTCTGATATTCCTGGAAGGATTTAATATATTTTTTTTTTTAAATCAGCCCAATCGTTAAAAATAATTCCGTGTGGAATTTCTTTATTCTCCCTTTTTCCCAATCGTAAAGAAAATTCCGCGCGGAATTAAAGGGAGAAGAAGTAGGCATCATAAGAAAGTTCGATTTGTGTTTTTCCTCTCAAAATATCTCACAAACAAAATCGAAGGGAGATAGAATTTAAAATACAAAACAGGAACAGGAACTTTTTGGCAATTTTATCCACTTAGGACAAAGGTGAACTTCGAAAACAGTTACCACCTCGGAGAGGATAGAACTAAATGTTGATTGTGCCATACAAACATCAAAATCATTTCCAACGCAAGTTTATATCCACCTTCAGCAAAAAAACGTAACACGATGTTGCACCAAAACTTCCAAAAAAGTATTGGAATGCTGGTTTGCTTACCCGGTAGTATTTTTTGAATCTGTTGGGAAATACATATCAGATGTTTCAATTATTTTCAACTTTTCTGCACTTACAATGATTGTGGCAATTCAAGAGGATTGGAACTATCTCGCATTTGTCTTCTTGACAATCTTGTAGAAGTTCTTTGTTGCTTTATGGAAGTAGCAACATCCTCTAAATATTCTCTAAGTATAATACTATTCATATTTTGGGTTTCAATTATTTATTTCTTTTTAATTATTTCGTACAACACAAACACTTTAAATTTGCGCAAACAAATAAAGGTACACAAAGTATGAAAAAGACCCACAGTTGAATAAAATGAGATGCCATATTCCAAAAATTTTATTCCTAGATTTTCTACGATTGGAGGATTTTTCTCTCGAGAGAAATTCTTTCCTTAGGAATAGAATTTCTCCCACATTTTGGTGATTGGGCTAAAATAGTTCAAACTTTCATAAGTTCGACCCTGACGAAATTTGTATACCCTCCACCATGATTATGAAATGGTCTTCCATATATATAGAACGTGGTCTTGTATTTCAAAAATAGACCTTCTTTTCTTAATTTATGATTAATAACCCCTTTTTCAAACGCCCTTCTTAAAAACTCAAGTTCCATTAATTTCGCTTAGAGTGTTTGCCGGCACACTCTTAACGGCCGGGTCGTTAGACAAGTAAAGTATCTTAAATGGCCATTATTGAAATTGCATTGCAGACAAACAGATAGACAAGAGGCAACAACTTGCACGACAAGAGGCAACAACTTATCCCTATCGGGATAAGGATAAAAAACAAAAGATGAAGAAAAAATAAAATAAAAGATAATACACAATCTTAGCCTCCAATGGGGCCCATTAGAATCGGAAAAAAGCAAAGCAAAAAAAAAATGTAGACACTCGCCGCATAAATGGCCATAAATCCTTTTATGAGCCATTTAATAGCATTTTAAGTAGGTTCTGGTTATTTCGTCTACTTGAGGCTCATCTTGTGTGTGCCCATTCATGATTCAATGGCTGGCAAAGATTTATCGGAGAAAAACATATTTTTTTTTTTTGCTAAAAAAATAAAGTGAATTGCTTGAAAAGTATTTTTTTTTTCATTTTTCGTGTTTAGTTTTAAGTTAGCAATAATCTGTATTTAATATATAATTGATAAGAAAAATAAAATTCCGACCCCTCCTTCCCTTTAAATATTGTTTTTTATATAATGTTTTCTTTGTTCTTCGTCTTTTGCCAATTCTGGTTTATTCTTTTCAGTTTGGGCTGAGACTGGTGATTTTCGTGATAGTCATAGTTCTATGGCCGCTGTAGCAAATGGCTTGGAGCCATCCCATTTAAATAATTTCCAAAATTCATCGTCATCAACATCGAACTTGGCCAATCGGAGTAGAGATCGTAAGGATGGTAAGTAAAATTAAAAAAAAAAATTATAAAAACATATTAATATAAAAATCCGGACCGAACTTTTAATACTCTACACCATGAGGTAAATTTTCAAAATATGTAACATCCATTGAGAATTTTATTTCTGGCGCTAGGCCATGGGTAAATTGTTGCCAAGAGAAAATAGACAATAAGGTTTGAAAATTGGTCTAGAATCGGAAAAGATGTGTGACCTTTGTATATGGACTTATATCGAAAATGTTTTGTACACAACAAGATCCGGTGATGCTAAAATGTAGTCATATGGGTTAAAAAATGCGAATGGGACTTTCCAAAAAAGCTAAAACAAGGACTGGAGTTGTATATGGAGTCTATATGGGGACTAATAAATACAGACGAGGGTTTCTAACCAATGAGAACCCAAAATACCAAGATACATATACCTTGGAATCCTCAAAATACCGACATTTTTAGAGGTACCGTTATGGGGCCTAACTTGGACGGATTTATCACAGTTTGGAGTAGTATCAATATCCGTGCGAAATTTAAGGGCTCTCTCTTAAATATTACATGCTATATCGGAATTTTAGCAGACGAACGCCTTAGAATTTTATTCGTATCAAGAATATAAAGATACTTTATGGAGGTGTTGGAATATTTGGCGAATATTTGGAGGTGTTGCACACGGAATAACATATTGAACATAGAACCCGCCTAATAGTGAAGGTATTTAGTTTTTGCATAAAATCTTTGAGGACCCTTAAAATATTAAAAAAAAGTCCCTCGCTGATTTTTTTTAATTAAAAACTCCCTACCTCTAAAATTAAGTTAAAAAAATTTGGTACTTTCAGAATACCGAAAACCCCCTCTCAATAAAAGTCAGTTATCGACTTTCCGATAATATCGATAATTTATGATCTTCAAACCCAACGGTAGCAGCAGTAACTGTCGCATTCATGCTACGTTGTCGTCACAACTGGTCATAACACACCTATTTCGGCAAACCGTCATACATACACAATCGTAAAAATATATATGTTTGTAGTTCCCCTACTCATAAATCGGTGGTTAGCATTCTCATGACCGTGATTATTTTGATAGAATGCGAAGGAAGGGCACCCCAAAAATAAACCAACACAGAGGGGGGGGTGCATGGCAGGAATACAAACTTCAAATCAATTTTGATAAAGCAAATTTCCTTTGTCGGCAAATGTTCGTTCTAACCAACATTTGATTATGATTGTGGTGGCCGATTGTGGTGATTTCATGTACCCAAGTACTTAAAAATGTTCTGATATTGTTATTGTACATACTTATGTGTATGGATGGATGGATGGCTGGCCTGGCTAAAGAATTCCATAACAAAAAAAATGATTGATCGATATATAGAATTTTTCTATGTTTGAAAATTATTGTTGATAGCTAATATTTTGTGTTGTTGTTTTTCGAATGTTGCTTTGTTTGGAAGCTCAATAAATCTGTTTATAGACAAATATAAATTTAGGCTAACTACTGATATGACCCAGAGCGGCATACTACAAAAATGTCTTTGATCTGAAGTTTTTTCAATAAATTTTCAATTGAGTAATAGCTGGAATATGGTAAAAGTTTTTGTAATAATGGAATTTAAAAAAATGGGTGAAGTGACCCACCATTTACAGTAGTAGGGGGTAGCTTTTTGTGTTATTATTAAAGCAGTTTTGCGGTAATTAATTTGTCAAACATAAGTGCCTAGGTTTTGCTACCCTTTCCCCCAAAATTTTCAGTATTTTTTTTGTTCTCTAAGGCGCCCCTTTTTGCTTTAGTTCCTCCGCTGATAAAAAATACGTGTAATAAATGTTTTGTCAACACGTTAATAAATGTCATCGATTTTTTGTAAATTGGAGGAATTCTAGGTAGCTTATCTTTGCCAGTTTGGGTTCTTTTATGTTTTTGGATGGTTTTTGATCAACATTATCGATTTATGTTTATTTTTGAGGAGTTTTCAATTATTATTATTTGTTAATTTGGTGGTTATACGTTTTTAATGATTTTTGATAAAAAAAACAATAGACATATATGCAACAACCTATTATTACGAGATATACCACTTCGAAAAGTCAGAAAAACCCATCAAATGCCAAAAAAATGGCCCCGAAAATCCTGGAAAATATCTTATATCCGACTATCTTTTATTCTATAATATTCTCTATCCGTCTTTATACCATTCTAGTCCTTGAGGAATTATCCTTAAAACCTCTACGCTTCATACCCTGCTAGTCCTTTAGGAATTACCCTTAAAACCTCCACGCTTTATACCCTGCTAGTCATTGAAGAAATGTCTTTAAAAACCCTACGCTTTATACCTTGAGAAATTATGCCTTGAAAAATTATCCATAAAAAACCTACCCTTTATGTCTTGAGAAATTGTCCATAAAAAACCTACGCTTTATACTCCGCTAGCCCCTGAGGAATTGTCCTTAAAAAAAATACGCTTTGTACTCTGCTAGTCGTTGAGGAATTATTCTTAAATCCTGATATATTATTCTTATAAAATCTATACTTTAGATCTTGGAAGTCCCTGAGAAAATATATTCATAAACGTGTGGGAAAATATTCTCAACAACTATACAGTAGACCCTAGACAATTTTGGGAACATATTTTTAAAAATCGACTTAGAAGAGATTCCTTAAAGACAATGACAAATGAAGAGATTTAAGGTTCTATGCTTGTTTTCAGAATATATTATGAAGGACCAGCAGAGGCTAAAGGGAGATATCTACGCTTTTGACTCTAATTATCTTTCAGAGTATTTTTAGTCCCTTAGAAATTATATGTGTATTATTAAATGTACGCTTTAGCCTTTTAAAAAAAGTCACCCTTTAGCCTCTGGTCGTCCTTCATAATATATTCTGAAAACATGCTTCAGAATCTTAAATTTCTTCATTTGTCATTGTCTTTAAAACATGCTTCAGAATCTTAAATTTCTTCATTTGTCATTGTCTTTATGGAATCTCTGCCAGTCCTTCAGAAAAGACTGGAAGAAGAAGAATATTCTGTAAAAAATCCAAAACAAATTTACATTTTAGAATCTTGTAGCCCTACCGAAAATATTCAGGAAATAATTTAAGCTTTAGACTCTACCTCAAAATATATTCTCAAAATATACTCAAGCTGCTTCAGCCTCCGCTAGTCCTCTCTATGCCCACGCTTTAAAAAAAAAAATCCACACTCAATCCGAACAATATTCTCTAGACTACTCACAGGGAATATTCATAAAAAATTACGGCCGGTGTTCTCACATTACACTTTCAAATCCGAATTTAATGTCCAGAGAAATATTCATAAAATATTCTGAAAAAATGACGTTGAACTTCTGATAGTCCTTAACAAATCCTAAAAATCTTGTTAATTCGCTGTTTCGAAATCCTGGGATATGTTTTAAAAATATCAGACTCTTAGCTTCAATAAAACCAAATTTACACGTAGGTTGGATATTGTCAACACAAATTCAAAATTGTTATATTAATTCTGTTAGCAATGACTTACCCGATCTGGTAGTAGTCCTCAACCTGCAAATAAATAAAGAAAAATAAAATTATTTAATATATGTTTTTAAATTCATATTTTTTCTAATGTATTCATCATTTATTTTTTGCAGGTAATAATCGTTCCCTCAATGAAACAACAATTAAAACGGAAAACATATCAAATTCCGGACATGATGAACCGATGACAACGACCGCCGATGAACCGAAAAACGATAAGAAAAATAAACGTCAACGACGTCAGCGTACACATTTTACATCACAGCAATTACAGGAGCTGGAGCATACCTTTAGTCGTAATCGTTATCCGGATATGTCGACACGTGAAGAAATTGCCATGTGGACAAATTTGACGGAGGCCCGTGTTAGGGTAAGTTAGAACTTAGATAAAAATTATTTGTTTAACAAGAAGAACGAAATATGGAGACAAGGAATGTTTTGAAGGAAGTTTGCCATGACATGTTTATGGTGATTGATTAGTCAAAAAATAGTATAAAGAAATTAGGTATTTAATATTTGAATATCAGAGCAAAAGAGAACAGGGTTGCCATTATCAAAATAAGCGAAGAGAACAGTGTTGTATGCGCCAGTGTTAGTCCCCTTGGCAACCTATCTGCCAACATATAACCTCACATTTTGTGTTTTCGTTATACAGTTTAAAAGGAAAATTTATTGCTCTGCCATCCAAAAAACATTTTTCCATACAATTTTGTTGAATCGTAAATTTCATTTGAGGTTATGTTGTTTTGTTTGCCTGCGCCATTGGTTGGAGAGTACAAAATACATTAAATGCTTTAAAAAGGCAGATTAAGCTTCTGTGGTCATAGGGCGAAAGGAGTGGAAGCGAATTCTGTTGTTGTCGCAATGGAGTCATTGTAATTTTTCTGGTTGTTGTTTATTTGTGGTTGTTACAAAAAAAAGTGGAAAAAATCTGCATCTGAAAATAAAAACAATATTTACACCATTGTTGTACAGCTGCTAAATGGCTAGCTGCCTGCAGGGCGGGTTGGCTGACAATGGTAATGTGTTGCAATGTAAATATTATCATTCCCCCCGGTGAATTGCAGTGGGAATATTGAATGCGGTATGGTGTTAAACCTCCTACCAAAAACACCAACACGTACAAAAATCCCACAACAGAGTCGAAGCCCAGCAGCAACAACAACAAAGCTGTATATTTTCGCGCAATGCAGTTGCAAAAAACAAAAACAAAACAAAAAAATCCACAACAACACAGCACAGAAAGTCTGTCCATGGACCAAAAACTCACTGTTGCACCATTTTGTAAAGTTGCCATAAATTTCAACACCATGTTTGCAGTGGTTTTACTAACAGTAGCATCAGCGGTTTTTACCACAAACAACCTCAATACCATCATCAGCAGCAGCACGAAGTCGGGTACTATGGTTGTAGCCATTGTGTTCTGGCATCATCAGCAGTATCACACCCTGCCACCCAACCCAACCACCAAAACATTGTTTTCCGGTGAATGGAGGTAGATTGCTGACCAGTGCTTGTGAGGCTGGCTGGGTTGCCTATTCTGGAGCGTTATGGCCATTCATATTTTAACTTAACTTTATGTCTACAAGCTAAAGTTGCCATTTTTATGAGTCTATGTGGATGGTATTTTATTGTAAATTTAAACAAAATAAAATGCCTTAATTGAGAGGGAGATTACGGGCAGGTCCGGAAAAAAATAAATACAAGAAAAATTATTTTTATAATGCCGCAAGGAGAGAAATTCCCTTGGACGGTGGGTCAATTTTTAAGAGCTTGCGATATGCTATGAAAAAAGTCCACAATGCACACAAAGGTCATGCAATGAACCTTTGAAAAATATTCTTAAAAAGTCTACACTTTAGACTCCGCTAAGCCCTTAAAACATCTAAATTTAGACTCTGATAAGCATTAAGAAAAGGTCCTCAAAAATCCACGCTTTGACTTCGATATTCCTCCTATTAGCCTTAGGAAAATATTCTTTAAATGTAAACGCTTTAGACTTTGCCAAACACCAATAAACTATTCATAAAGAATCCATGCATTATGTCCTGCTAAGCCTTTGAAAAATATTCTGAAAAAATCCGCTATTTAGCCCTGAATAAGCCTTGAGAAAATATTCATAACAGTCGATGATTCAGACTCCGCGCCTTAAACTCAAATAAACCACTGAACGAGTCAGTCCACCGAAGGAGTCAGTTCACTGAACGAGTCAGTCCACCGAAGGAGTCAGTTCAATGAACGAGTCAGTCCACCGAACGAGTCAGTTCACTGAACGAGTCAGCCCACCGAAGGAGTCAGTTCACTGAACGGGTTCAATGTTTATTATTATCGTTAACTGAACGACTTAGCTCACTGGATGCCGTCGGTCACAGAACGACATTAAATTTTATTATCTTACTAACAGTTTCCTTCTCTGAAACTCTAACTTTGACCAATTGAACTGAACGACGTGAAACGCGTTGAACCAAAACAATTTCACTTAAAATAATAGAATGAGCAATTGGATTCCAGGTCCATAGTGGCCATCATAGAATGCGAGGCTCAGAAGGTCAAATGCGAATAATGCAGTACTGTTTTAATTGTATCTGGAGGTCAGGTAATAATTTTAAATAATTTTAGTTGATCCCGAATTTAGTTGCCGTGCCAATTGAACTGAGTGACCATTTGAACCACATAAGGCAACTGAACCATTTCACCACCATTTCACTTTTAAAAAATATGACCTGAGTTCTTTCGATCTCTGAACTAAACGGTATTGCCCATGACTATTCTGAGAATTTGCTATGTTTTGAAATAATAGTCTAAAGAAATCCTCGCTTTAGTCTCTGAGACGTCTTGAGGAAATATTTTTAAAAAATCCACGCTGAACGAGGTGAACCAAGGCTTAGTTTATTTTAAAAAAATATGACCTAGTTCCTCCGATCTCTATGAAAAGCCTAGAATAATATGCCCATACCAAGCAGTGTTCTTCACAGTAAAGTCTGTGGTCAGATCGTAGTTTATTTTTCAAAAGAATTGTCCAAAAAAACTTCTATTTTAACCCTCATATTTCTTGGACTATTGTGCAAACTCTTTCCTGAAGAAAAAATGAACTAGCTTAATTTAGTTCAAAAGTTCCTCTTAGCTGTTCAATCGTTGCTTGGATGATGTCAGTTAAACCGGCCAATGAACGATGTAAATGAACATTTAGATAAAACCCTAGGTGAACGAGAACAAAAAGGAACGACTAGAGCAAAACGAACTAGAGGTACAAAAGAGTCTAGTACCGATGGTTCCATTTGCAGAATACCGATGGTTCCTTTTGCAATTCTATCGAATTAGACCAAGTTGAACATAGGAGTTTTTCTTGTAAGGATTGTAATTCTATTGAGTAGATATAGAATCAAAGATTTTTGTTGAACTCGATGGATACAAGCAAGGATTACAGCAAATTTAGCAGGATTACAGCAAATTTAAAATATTTCTAGCCACGAGTCGCCTTAGACTAGCACCGCTTCCAATTGTCGGCTTTAGTCCTACAAACGCTACCAGGCTACCTATGAAATGGGTATGTCAATTCTCATTCTATCGAAAGAATTTTAATTCTACTGAGTAGGTTTAGAATCGAAGATTATTGTAGAACTGGAGACAAAACATTTTACCAACGATAAACTTACTTTTTCCAATGGAGCATCTTTACTCGAAGATCAATTGCTATGGAAGAACTTTCCCAGGCTTTTTCATACAAACTAAATAGCTTCTTTTTAATGTGATTACTAGTTCTATGAAAATGTCATTTAATCTCCCGAATGTTCTTCATACGTCGTCTTGCATGCCATTTGAAGATACTATTTCTCCGTTTTGTGATTCCTCTTTAGATAAATACTTCTCTTTTTATTACTCAGCTTTCCTTAAGATCTTCAAAGAAAGTTGGATCATGTCTAGAATTCTCATAGAGGTATTTAATTTCTAATTTCGAATACCTATAAAAATCCTATTATTTGTCGAAAATAGAACCTGTGAGAATATCATATTCTCAAATTTCTGTTCCCACACACCATTTAAAAAACGTATTTTCTTAAGGATTACCAAAATCTCACTTCTAAAGCCCTACATAAATACCAAATCAGCTGACTGCTTCAAACATCTGTTAGAAGTGTTAAAAAACAATGACTTCTATGTCAATAAACACAATGAACCCTTTTCCCCGAAAACGCTACTCACTCAACACGCACAAATGTCAACAACTCGTCATATAAAAAAATCAATGTGACGCTTACAATTATGATTTGTAAACATGGGCAAGTATAGATGGCGCCTAGCGGCAAACATAAAAAGCAATATCTTCATAGAACGCCAAACAGTAGTCCGGACAAGACGACAGAACAACGCATAAACCCTCGTTCATTTTTGTCAGGACAACGACACAAACAATTATGATTATTATTTTTTCTTTTGAGAATATGATTATGATGATTGGTGTGTGACGAACAAATGTCAATACCAACAAACTATACCCATTATTGCAACAACTCCACATTTGTTTTGTGTAATGATCGATTGTCAGTGACAGTAATCAGACAGATACAATGGGCAAATAAGAGCGACTTACCGACACCAATGGTCAGAATTGGAAAAAAAAACATTTGGAAGTGTGTCTGTCTGTAGACAACATTTTTTGAACAATTCTAATTAAGGTGATAATATTTGATAATGTTATCTAAACTAGTAAAAAAGGTGTTTCGTTTTGAGGAAGACAGAGATTTGTTATGGTTACTTGCTTTCCATGGGGATTATGGTGTTATTTTGTGAATTATGGTATATTAATACAGGTGGCGCCCAAACAGAAATCAAGATAGCTATGTACTTTCTTTCGTCATGTGGGAAAGTATTAGTTTTTTATTTTTAAAAAAATCAATCAATAGGTATTAACTTCAAGTGGGGATATCATGAATCTTGATATTGGAAAATTCGGAAGGAAAAGTTATTTTGAACGATAATATACAAGATTGAAAAGGAAGGGGGAATTGTACGGTGTTTATTATTTTTTGGAACAAAAATCGTACATGGAGACATTCATAATACTTTTAAACCTCCTAAGAAGTTTTGAACCGCCTCGAAATGTTTTACTTAAGAACCAAAAAAACCTTACTCGAGTATGTGTATATTAACTACAGATTTTCAGGTGCATAAATATCATCTAACTATTGAACAGCTCAATACAATCGGTATTCAAAGTATTAAATATTTGAAAGTGTTGTTACAATTATGAGTATCCCAATCGGAGTCTCAGTCTAGGAATACTTAAGTCGATTTTCGATTAGACTGCCCTAGCTCATACGATCTTTTCCATGAACCATTTAATGGAACTAGTTCCTTTGTGAACTAAAC